TCCCACTACTTTCAGGAATGTCAATACAATTATCACAGCCTAGAAAGCCAGACTACCAGGATACAAATATTGCTGATAATGCTTTAAGTCCAAGATCCCTCCAAGGCTAATCTCATTACAAGTCCTCCAAACCTGAAGTTTACCCAGTCACCTACAACAGCCACCAGCGGCACTGAAGTATGCTAGCACCTACTGTTAGGCTTAAACCCAAATGTTTGCCTTTTCTCCTTGCTACCAACATTGCTTTTTCTCAGGCCCCATTCCCACAGTACTCTCGTCTAATGGTTTCCTGCAGCATCTTTGCCTCTTAACTTCAAGGCTTTCAGAATATCAAAGTTTTGGACTATTCTTTCTCCACATGAGCCCCAGCTCAACTAAGCACCTAAAATGAAAGAGGTGTCAGGATCTGAGCACATTGTACTGTGAAATTCTTTCTCTTCATCCAGCAAACCAGCTGAAGTTTGTTCAGCCCTTATGGTTGTTACCTTTAAATCACAAAACAAATCATTTCTTTGTAGCGAATCTATCTCTGATTTTGAAATCTCCCACTAAAGCCATATGTCTGCTAAAAAATCAGTCCTAAATATCATAAATGAGTACAATCTCAAAATATCGGGGCATAACCACTTCTAGTGATTCTCTAAGTAACAATGAAAATATCTATACAACATGGAAACGGTTCTACCTACTCTATTAAGACAACCCAGATTTCTGGGGACACTCAACATCTGCAGACTCTGCTGGTTGGAGATGATTTAAAACAGTTCTAATGAAAGTTGACTATAAAAAGCTGTTTTCATATAAATTCTCCAGTGGGAACATGTGTTTTCTAGGAAAAAGCCCATTTAATAAAAGCAGGAAAAAAAAAAAAAACCTCAAGAAGCTTCCCAATTAGAGGAAAAAAAAAGAATTGTGTTGAGCAACTCATAAACGTACACTTCTCAGTCATGAAAATCAGATATGTGCATGGTTTCGAGGCGAAGGGTGAGCTTTTCCTGAAGATCAGAAGCACTGTATTCACAATTACTGATAAACTGACTGATTAATTAAGTAGAGAGACATATTAATTCATCTAGTGCCTGTTCCAGTTCTCATTTAGAACTCCCATTAGTAACATTAATGTGAATTGCAATAGGTATCTCATCCATTTCAATCTTTCCACCCATTATGCTTTAGGGAGAGCTGATTGACTGCTGCAAAGAGAGTGAGTGCATCTTGGCAAATATTAATTTGCACTTTGAAATGAATTTACTGTGACTGTTCCAGTTTGCCAGCTGGAATACCCATCAGAACAGGGAATTTTAAGCAGAGATTGGACATCATTCAAGTAAGCAAAATTAAGATGGTATGATAATCCCCAGGAAAGCTTTTCTGCATAATTATAAAACCATTCAACTAAGAAAAATATACTATATGACTATAATGTGCAATAAAATAAGTAGTGTTTTGCCACCTGATATTATGCATCAGTTAAAGATTATAAACTACTTACATTGTGTCACAAAAATAAATAATATAGGCAAAGAGCAAAACCCCTCAGATCTGGGGTGATCTGTCAGTTTGCAGCCAGAAAAAGACAAAACTCACTGAAACACGTTTTCATTTCAAAACCTCCTTAGCTAACCTGAAAACCCAGGAGGAGACCCCCACTATTCAGCATGAGATAGAGCACAAGCTGCACATCAGCTGTCATGTTGGAGGAAGGTGAAGCAGTCTCTCTGAATCAGTGCACTGGCCTCAATTTCACACTGTAATAGCCCCAAAGCTGACTTATCACATGAAAATTCCCATATCCTCTCTCTGAACCCAGGATCACTGAAAAAAAACAGGATTAAATTTCTAAGACAAAATTTCTTCTCTATTCCATGGTTGAAGAGCAGGAGGAAGAATTCCAAAATACCACAGCATATCAGTTGGCACCTGTCAACTGCAATATCCATGGGACTTTCCCTGTGACAAACAATTCATACCAAGTGCCAGCCTGCCCATTCTGTTTGCTTAGCTCCCTGTTCCCTAGTTTATCCCATAATAAAACACAAGGGCTGCTCTGCTCCACCGCTTTGTTTCCTTCTTCTGAGCACATGTAAATAATTTCACCCCCTCAGCATTATTCAACAATTGCATTGTATGAACCAGATCCTCAGTTGACTAGAAGCAACATTAATCCTATTTCAATATTTCTCGAAGCCAGGATCAAAACTTAAGTACGGTTAGGGGCACTGTATTCATAACTCATTTTCCCAGGGGATGTAAGCAAAGTGTGCTTTTGTGCACAGCACATCCTTCACGGTAAAAGCAAAATCTTTCAGAGATGATAAAAGGATGGATTTTCATCTCCATTTTTGGAAACCTGGAAAACAACCTTCTGAGAGGGACCTCTAAGTCTGGCAAGTTATTTGCTGCTCTGCCTGCAGGCGCACACAGTTCCACTGCCTGTCTCTGCCTTGTTCTCCAGTGCAATTAATTTTTTTTACCCAAAAAGTATGTGAATCAAGTACTAAACATTGCTGAGGTCACTTGCATCCCCTCTAAGTCATCCCTGCAGGAACAGCAGTTTTGCTGCAGCAATGCCACAGCTGGCAGCAGTGGGGGGCAGACAGGGACAGGACTTTACAAGATCTGAACTGCTACACTGAAAAAAGGACGTCAATCAGTTTTAACCTTCATGTCATACAGTGCCCAGTTCCTGTACTGTTAAAACACAGTGAAATAAACGTTTTAAACCAGTATTTCAGCAAATCTTCTAGCTCAGATCTCAGCTGGGTGGCATAATCCAGTGTGCTGGGGGCCAGGATCATAATTAACGGATCAGTTGGCAAACACAGGGAAATGATAGAGCTTCCTATTGCAAAGACACTCACTCCGAAGACCAGAAAGTAAAAGTACTCAGATAGCAAACAATGATCAAATTATTGACATACATATCAGGTGCAAAGCTTAAAAAAATGAGAACATAAAACCGAATTCATGTTATTTTAAGACTCAGAACACTGCACATTTAAATGCAGCTAGAAAATCATTTAATATTTCTTTTAAAGTCTTCTATTTTTTGCTTCTCAAATTTTGGACACCTCCAGACTCAGGAGAGCAAAGATGGAATTTACATTAAAATTAAAAACCATTTTACGTGTTTGATCCATGTCACTTTTTAAAAGTTATTTTCACAAGGGTGGAGGATGTTAGACTGACAGTTCTGGAGATTGGCATCTCTATCTATAGCCAAGGAGCAGGGAAAACAAGGGCAGGAGCAGGTCAGGCACCTGCCGAGATGCCCTCTCTTTTCCTCCCTTCACTGCCACCTTTCTGTCTTGCCCATAGTCCCTCAGGAGCCACAGATGATAGTTCTCCTTCTCTCCCTGCAGAGATGCCCACAGAAGAGGTGGTGACCACTGACCAAGCTAGGGCAGATGCCATCACCATGTGTGTTTGGGTGCTCAAGGCACAAGGGTACTCAACCAATATGCAGTCAACAATATAAAGAGACTGAGAAATGTAATAGAGAAGCTCAGGATTAATGATCAAGCAATTAGTGTGGGGCAGGAGTGGGATTTCAGCACAGGGCAGCAAGCATGAACCAGAACAGCCTCCACAGACCAGTGATTTCATCTCTACAGCCACATTTTTGGGAAGAAAACTTTGCCTGCTTTCAAGAGTGTGAACAGTTGATTCAATTGTCAGTTCTATTTGAATATCTTAACATCTCATTTTGGAGAGGCTCTTGCTTTATTTTTAAACTCTTTTTACATTTCAATAGCAGGCAATATCATCTCAAACCAAGACAAGGTTGTCGTTTTATTTACAAATTGAAGCAAGATAAAGGCCTGGGGCAGTGACTAACATGAGTTTGTTGAAGACCAGAGAATGGCCATTAGATCAGAGATTATTCATGCAAAAGGGTCTTGAAACGTGGTTAATGACAATGCCAAAAAAAATTCTGAAACTGGAAACTCTACTCGAGATCTGGAGCCTCCTTTGGAAGGGTAGGACCTTGATTACAGGAATTTTTAATGAATGAGTTTCACTTAGTTTATAAGGAAATTGATTTAAAATACAGAAAGAGATAAAATAATAGGACTAGTAGAAGAACACAATGAGCTCTGAATAAAAACAGAATAGCTACAGGAGAATGCTGCTTGTTCAACCCAGTAATGCTACTTGGTTAATGAATAAAAACAAAAAATAGGTGATACAGTCCATCTAGGGTTTCCTTAAAGAAGGTCCATCAAAAATCTATTAATAAAACAAAGTATCTCTAGATGCAAGTTGATAGTAATGCCATGGTTGAAAACTGTTGAAGAACCAATTTCAGAAAACACTAAAGTGAAAAGAAGTTACTTCAGGAAACCTGGAATCAGACTCGAAGGAAGGCAGAAAACCAAGATCAGTAATTGATATTTCCTGCATAGCTGTGGTTTAACTGAAGCACCTTGAAAACCTGCAGGCTTAAAGTGGGAAAACAAAAGTGAATGGACATTGGTTTTTCAAAACTCCAAATATTGCTAGAGATCAGCCACAAAATCCTGTGAAATCCGTGCACCCCTTTACCCAAAGAGTGATCATACTCCCTCATGCTTCAATGGGCTCATCCTTTACTCACAACTGGGGTCACTGTGAGTACCTTTAAAAACACGTTTTTCACAGTGCTCTATCCTGATCCAACACAGGAGAGTAGGAAAGCTGTCACGTCTTCTTTGCGATTTGCTTTTGGCTGTTTTTAGAGCAACCTTTAAAAAAGGTAAAAAAGACAAACTTTCTTCATGGAAACATTTCCATTTGGCTGTTCCAGCAGTGCTTGCACAAGGGCAGGAGGGGCAGAGGGAAGAGGAATGCACCCAACAAGCCTGGTGGCAACCAGACCTCGTGTTAAGATAGCGGGGGAGCTCCTGCCCAGGCTTGCAGCACAGGTGCTGCATCAATACAAGCCTTGCTCCCCAGGCAGATGGCTTCCTAAGCAGACAGGATAAATTAAAGGTGATCTGTCAGACTGTGCTTGCTCTCCAAAGATTTTAAAGGAAGGCTTTCAAAGCTCTGCTGAAGGCAGTGGTGATTCTACGACTTGGTGAGTAAGAAGTGTAACATTAGCATGAAAACCAAAGCCAAAGAGGGGAACAGGAAAGAGAAAGCGAATGAGTCAGAATAGCGATTGCGAGGGCGTATCAATATTTATAGCAAAAATCCCCAGGCTTCAGCTGACTCTTGTGGCACGAAATAGGCTTCTTTTTTTTCACACTAATCAGGAAATCTGTTTGACAACAATGAGGACCTGTTGTTTCAAACCTTGTGCTCAGCAGAGCTGCACCAAGCTCTGAAGATTGTTTTCTTGTAACTGTATTATTGCCTCTATATTCCAAAATAGAAATGTTTGATAACAGCTTCCTTAAAGGCCAAATAATTTTGCTTTTCCAGCCTACAATGACTGCTTGTACTGGATTTTGCCTTATCTGTTATCCTGCAGTTAAGGCAAAAGAAGTAATGAAATCAGTCAGATTAATATGTAATTTGTTTTCAAGATCCCTATAGTTCTTTCCATTTCATAGTTGAAACAATCTGAGTTTGCTGAATGTGTTGCTAAGCAATTGAAGCCATCAGAGTTTAAATCTTGAATTATTATACTTTATTGTCTGAAAATATGATGCAAGTGAATGGCTCAAAATGTGAGCTGATATGTTCTAGTTCAACTCTCTAGGGCTTCTCCCAGTCAAATTTCACTATGATCCATGTGGCACAGGAGTAAACTCATCTTTGAAAGAGCCAGATTTTCTTCTTCTTCAGCTCTCTTTCAAAATAGCATTTGCCAAAGAGACTTTTGGGAGAATGGAAGCAACTTCGAATTATGAAGTGTATAAATGTAACATTGAGCATGTTAAATGCTTATAACACGGCACTTAGCTTACGGGGAGGCATTTTAAAGAGTGGAGAAACCAGCACTTAATGGAAGAGACGGTTTATCACGTCCAACCATTATCTTGTCCCACAAATTAATGTCTCTTGGTTACAACAGCTAATGATATACTATGCTCTGATTGTGTGTGGAGTTGAGCTTTGTTTCCTAAATACTTATAATTCTGTTTATTACCCACAGACATTTAATCACCCCTGGCTTAACTTTCAAAGCACATTATCATCACTCGTTCACTTAAACCCTTGTTTCAGACTGGGTTTCCAGCAGGAAATTGTCCTCAGGCGGTCTGATAAGTTGAGATAGCTGCCGATGGAAGCCAGTTTGGGAATTATTGATTGCTGATACTTTCGTACTGTGGGTACTTTTATTTCAGGTTGGTAGGGATGTGTGATTCTGTGCTCTCTCTCTTGGGGTCTGAAGAGATTTATTCCCATAAGAATTATCGGAAAAAGCAAAGTAGCATTAAGAGCACTCCACATCGTGTTTCTGCTCTGATTTAGCTACTTTGTGACTTTTAAAATGTAGTTCTTGATTGTAGAAATACTTCTGGAAAACAAAATCAGAACGGATTTTGGCTTTCTCTTAATGCTTTTGGTGATTTCAGGTAGGTATGTAATAATCTTTAATGTCATGTATAAAAATACACGGCATGAGATGCACAGTTCTCTATTCTTGTGCAATCTTGCAGTGTTCTAGAACAGTGGAAGATATAGCTACAGTATAAGGTATAGAATGTATCCTGGAGTAGTTCCATAGGAACCTTGGGGTTTTCAAAATGGAATAAGCCTATGTGTGCAGATACCATGGGACAGCTGTAGGAAGCTTATGTTTGTACTTTTAAAGTGAAACCATCCTGGGAAAGATGGATAATTCTGCCTTGCATGAATTCATATATCTCAGGCCTTTGTAGCTATATCAGATCAAAACAACATTAAAAACTGTCCCATTAATCAATTATGAATGTGTAGACTCTAATGGTAGTTCTTAAGGGTTTTTGAGGAAGCAATCTGATGCAAATGAAACTTCTCTACTAGCTACTTTTTCCATCTGTTCATCAACAAGAAGGGACACAGAACTCCTCTTCCTATAGAAATTTTGTCTTTTAGAATTAGGACAAATATTCAAGCGATGTGGCAGCCTTTTCTTCCTTCAAGGACCCCAAACCCTTGGAATGGCAAAAGATGAGATTAAACACAAGTTCAGTCTCTTTTCACCCATAGATCAAGGGAATTCATGATTAGAGCGGATGTGCAAAACATAAGGAACTGAGTAACTTACAGAATATCTTGTAAGCAAAAGCTGGAAGTCATGGACTGTTAAAGCAATTGGTATTTGAATACTGAACTATGGGAAGCTCTAGAAGATAAAACAAATACACAAAAGATGGCATCTTTTCAGCTGAGCTGTTTTTCTCCTATCCAAAGCTGCTTAAATCTTCATTCATGGCTGGAAGAGATAAGTTTCCTTCCAGCACATTACATGTGAAGGCCAATAGAAGCATCTTTAGGACATTTCAGGAAGCTATTGTTTCTCTTCCCTTATGAAAAGGCTTCTCTCTGGCTCCCTGACAGGTTTTAGCCCTTCCACCCTCAGATGCACAGTGGTATTTGCATGGAACTACATATGCTGCTGGTCATCCCTCCCCCTGTTCACAACCGTTGTAGGGAGTGGGAAATGTACTCTGATACAGCTTGTGGGTATTAAAGCTGGCTTTGGTCCTTGTTGAATTGACCCGAAGTGCGGTGAGAGTCACCCAAACGCAAATACAATTCAGTATTTTTAAGGAAATTGCGTGTTCACTGGGAAAATAGTGGGCTGAATCCAGCTGATCAGATGGTTCGATGGTAGCAATGCTGCCTGTCAGAATAACAAGGCACCTCTCTAATTACCAGTACTGCGTAGGTATAGGCTGCCTACCTACTCATTGCAGTAACGTTTCACAACAGGACCCCTGTTAAAAAAAATAATAATAAATTGAGGCTTTTCTGTGGAGGCTTTCTCATACATTCCTATAATAATAGTGTACATAATACATGTGCTCTGTTGCTTCATTTTCTTTCCTTTTACTTTTGATAACGTAGATTTATTAAAATCTGAAATTTAAATATTTATACTGTAGGCTTTTTGATTAGCATATTTTGAAGCTAATAATAGGGCTTAGCTCACTTAGTAGATGTGTCAGTAAAAGGAATAATTCAGTGACAGAGATGAGGAGAAAAGGATGAAAAAGGAATAAACTGAAACAGTGAGAAAGATAATGCCTGTTACATGGAGACAAAAAGGCACCTACAAGAAGGTAAAAAGGAGGCTGGTCCTGCTCCCTTTCTAATTCAAGCAACAATTATTTAGAGAATGCACTTTTTGAATATTAACTATTTTCATGTAAAGATAAAAACTTCCACTAAATCAGTTTTCAAAGCTTCCCTTAATTTTATTGGGACTCTTTGAATATATGGTACAAATTATGCAGCCTCTTTGAATATATGGTATAAAGCTGATGACCTAAAGCGTTTAAATCCTGGTTTGACAGTTTACAAATAGTCATAGTTGCTAGGATTTCAAATACCAGCCTTCTGCAAGTCCAAAATAGAAGATGAACAGAATTGTTGTTATCATCTATAAATATATATTTTATATATATATGATCCTGATCTTTTGGAGGTCTAGTTTGTTTATTCATTGCAGCCACAAAGGTCAGAGGATTATTAGGAAGACAAACCTCACATATTCACATGACAGAAAGTACTGAGCTTTGAAAGAAATGTCTGGCATCCCGTAATTTGTCACAAAATGATGAGAACAAGCAAAACAGAAGTCAGCTAAATAGCACAGAGGGATTTATTTTGTCTCATGTTAGACATCTATGACACGTAACATTTTGTCGCAGCTAGTCAGCCCAGACAGAGCATCTTCAGAGCACCATCTACCCCGTCTCCTGGGGAGGTCGGCTTTCAGTGAGGGGACTGGTCTTTGGTATTGCCTCTTGTTTGCCATCAGCCATTTCCTTGTTTGCTTTTTCCTAGCCTAGCCACCCAGAGAAGTTCAAATGTTCAAACAATTGTGTTGCACAGCAGCTGTGACCTAAGACCCTCTGATGTTGAATCAGTTCTGCTCTTCTTTTCCTGCAGTGCTGTGCTGCAGAAGTCTGGAGCACACCTGTCCTCAGAAGAGACTGACCTTTTGAAGCACAGGGGTCCTCGTGTTGCACCTCTCAGCACTATAAAACCCTGCAAGCAGCATTGCCTCAACCATAAATCCAGGGCAGCCATAGCTTCATAAGAATATCTTCACTTCAAAGTAGCAAATTGTACATTTGTTCACAAAACCCACTGAAAACAAAAATCTAAAGTCATGTGGAGCTTTGGTGGTTTAGAAGAAGATAATATTCAGGAAAGTGCAGTAGGTGTTGTGGACCTTGGCTTTATTTTGGAAATAGTGTAATGAAGTTGGACCTTGAGCTTGGTACAGCACAGAGTAAAGTTTCAGACATGATATGTGGCATGACCGGCATCCACAACAGCCTGCTTGGACTTCAGCCCACTGCAGGTACCAAGAAAAGGCAAAGCCATGAGGAATATAGTTCATATATCAACAGTTAACAAGAAAAGGTCGAGCTCTAGGACAGTATGTAAATGTTTCACTGCTGTAGAAAATCCTTGGCAGCATTTACTTGTCTTCTGTTAAGTAATTCTGGCACCTTTAGAGCCTGGTTTCTTCGTAAAGTATCTTTCCCATGAAAAATATTGAAGTAGGTTTTGGTTTTCCTCTCATTTTCCCTTGATATATTCCTTCACTTATTTGCTGTCCAAATGAAGTTTGAAATTCTGCTAGCACAAATCCAAAGTCCTTTATGATTCTTAGGTGGAGTTACACCAAACTTGACTTGCAGAGGCTTTCCCAATTACCTCAAAATTTACCAATGTCCTTTAGAGGAACATATGGGAACTTGGAAGGTGAAACTAATGAACTAATGATTAATTGCCAAATCCATCTGTCCTCATTTCAGGCACCTTCAGATGAAGACCATGTTTTACAAGACCTGACATTCAGCATTACAGCAAGTCAAAGAAAGAACCCAACATTGACATGAACTGAAACCATTCCAAGCATGAGAGGCAAATTCATTGACTTGGTTTGGTTAGGAAAGCTGGAAACAGAAATTTCAAATCTGGGGAAAAAAAAAAAAAAGTGGTTCTGGCATTTTTCTAATAAAAATCCTGAGCATTTTTTTCTGTTAAAAATGTTGTGTTTAGATATTCACTTAAATACCTTTTTAAAGGAATTAATCATCCCTAAATGAAATAAATTCATGAATGCATTGGGAAAGGGTCAAATGGGATGCAATTTTTCAATCCAAACCTAATTTTCCTGTTTTTTCTTCCACCCAAAACATATTTGTAATTAACGAATGAATTGAGCCAAGCTGAAATGCTGGCACAGTGACAAGCTCCATTCAGAAAGCCAGATCATTTCTTTTGGTGAGTTCAGGATCAGGAGCAAATTGTAGGCCTGATCCTGACAATTTTTTGCCTATACAAGAATAGATTTTTGTATTGGGGTGATGTCGCAGTCCTTTCGGGCTGTGATTTATCCCAAAATTATTACAGCAGTGAGACCTGTGGTTGGCTTTCACCATATCCATTGCTTGCTATCACCCTTCTTGCAGAACTTGCTTTTTTGCCAGCTGGTTGTCCACATCATTCCCTCACCTATTTCACAAGCCAAGCAGCTTGGATCTGCGATGCACCCTGGACACACTGCAGCGGTTCTGTGTTCCTTCTCAGCATTTCAGATGGGCTTCATGTCCATTGAGAAATCCTGGACAAATGTGAAAATCCTTAAAGCCTGCCCAAACAGAATTTGCAGGCAGAAATGGAGGCAGTGATGTCCTGCCGTGTTTCATGAAGCCCTTCAGTGCAAACAAAACCTACCGTTGATCTTCCCAGTGTGGAGGAAATTAAACAATCCTGTATTTTTAAAAGAGACACAAATCATTAATTTCTAAACTCTTCTTTTTGTAACAATACTCAGGACATAGCTTGGATGTACTTAGGAGACCAAGCGGATGAGCTGATTACATTCCAATGAACTTTAATGAAATTTGAGCACCTAATTCCCTGAGGCTTCTTTGACAACTCCATTCAAAGTCTCTTTAAAGCAGTTTCTGTAGTCTATACTTGATATCTTTCTTCTTAGCTTTTGTTGTGGTGGATGTTATAAATATTCAGTGATTTTTATGAGCCTCAGCAGACCAAAAATTATCTTCAAAGAGCTCGCTTACACGTATTCACGTATTTTAAAAACCCTAAGAGTTACTTTAAAAGAAACAGTATCTGAATATCTGCATGCCTATACCTAGTGAAAAGAAATGTTTTACAGCAAATAGTACTTTCACTGAGGAACAAAGGAACAGAAGAAAGGATGAGGAGATTGCAGAAGTGATACATGTTCAAAGAAATGCTATTATGGAGCTCTTGAGAAATATTTGATTATCCCAACACAAAATGTCATTAAACTAAATTTGTTCAAGGATTGGTTGTGCAAGATAATGAGAGAACTAAGACTCCACTGAGATAAATCAGAAGCAGGTTGTTCTCTATCCTCTCTATTATATGTTGTCAGTGAAGGGAAAGGGCAAACAGAACTGTTAAAATAACCCTAAAGTGCTGTGGTTTGTACTCACACCTCTTGAATTATCTGATGGGCATTTCAGTTAATGCATTTCCAGTCTGCTGAAGGCAGTAGAAACAAAAGCTCTCCCAAAAATGGCAGGTGTTAAATGGAACAATTCCAAGACAAAGTCAGAGGAGTAGGGAGTTAGATCAAAGTATGCGTTTAGCTATAATAATAATTTAAAAAAATAAAATTATAAGGTTATCCTCTTTGCATCTTTGTGCATTCTTATCAGAACTGTCACTAAACAAAGCCTGGGTTATCCTCATGCACGCTTTGTCCATCACCAGCAAAATCCAACATGAAGGTCCAAACACAAAGACGCTCCCCATTACAGGGTTACCAGCAGCAACAGCCTTTAGAAACCCTTCAAGCAACAGCTTCAATATCTTTTGGTATCTTTATTTAATCCTTCTTTATCTTGCAGGCTGCTTTGTGCAAAGATGAACATTTCTTCCCTGAATCCTAGCATATATATTTCAATCTAAAAGGTATAATTTCACTCTGGATTTTCAACCTAGCATTGGGACAACTGTGGTGAAATATGTGCAAGAAGTAACCTTCAACACTATATGGTGTGTACATTTCAAATTTGAAACACAGGAGTTAATAGTTCTACTGTAAAGCTGCCAGGAGTCCTCAAAATCTTTGAGCTGAAAAATCACTTATTTAGCTCTGCCAGAGCTCAACTAGATTCAGAAAGCACTGCGTGCAGCTCAATGGACTGTAGAGGGAAGAAGTCCAGTAGATGTTGAACTCTGTGTTAAGTCTATATAATAACTATCAGTTTACTCAATTTTACTTCATGTTAGCCAGAAAGTGGAACGCGCCTCTTGAGCAATACCCCCAGGGCAATCAATCACTGTGGGAGAAAACTGAACACAATCTGGCCTCCCACAGTAGGTTCAAAGCCATAAGCACTGTTTATGGCACATGGTTTATGCATCTGTTATTCCACAGTGGGAAGTCATCCAACAGACGGTTTCATTTTCACTCACATTAGGTATATGAAGTTGTGATCTTGTTTGTAACAAGCTTGAGATATATAAAATATGTATATATCTATGCCACCCAAATTTTCATTACAGGTTTGCTACTACTTTAACAAGATGTAAGGTTTCAAATGCACAAGGTCCCATGCTGGTAGGGACACAGAAGGATCCACCCTCCAAGCCAAGGTCAGGGCACTGATGCTTTTCCAACCCCTTCTGCTTTAGCTCTGATGACAGTGAAATCAGGGTGGCATGCCCAAGGGTTTCCCTGGTCCAAAATTTCAAGTTTTCCCAGAACCTTGCAATTTTCAGAGCTCAGTTATTCACCAGGGTCAGCTAGAACACTTCAGAAATATAGTGACTGGAAGTACCACCATTACCTCTACTACCTCTGAGTTTAAGTGGACAAAGTGTTCAGCATATCTTAATTGTGGGTATTTATTGTCTGAAAAATCTTTTCAAATTATTTGAAAATTGGGAAAGAGAAAAAGAAAAGAAAAAAGAAAGAAGAGGAAAGAAAAGAAAAGAAAGGAAAAAAGAAAAGAGAAAAAAGAAAAAAAGAAAAAGACAAGAAAGAAAAGAAAAAGACAAGAAAGAAAAGAGAAAAGGAAGAAAAGAAAAGAAAGAAAAGAAAGAAAAGAAAAGAAAAGAAAAGAAAAGAAAAGAAAAGAAAAGAAAAGAAAAGAAAAGAAAAGAAAAGAAAAGAAAAGAAAAGAAAAGAAAAGAAAAGAAAAGAAAAGAAAAGAAAAGAAAAGAAAAGAAAAGAAAAGAAAAGAAAAGAAAAGAAAAGAAAAGAAAAGAAAAGAAAAGAGAAAACTGAATTCTTAAGGTCACATTAACACTTTTTCATGTCATACTTGGTCATTTAACAGTGAAAAAAAATTATGTGAGACCAATATTATAACTGAGAACTGCAAAGAACTTTACCCAGACCTGAAGCAAACTTCTTGGACAAAAATTGTTTGCAAAACACACTTTTCATATTTTCTTTTTATTTTTCCCTGGAAAAAAAAAAATGGTTTTCATTCCAAGTTGGAACAAAAACACACCACAAAATTTTAGCACTTCCTGGTTTCAAGACATTTCGAGTTTTAACCAGCCCTTCCTCCATGGCACGATTTGCCCTTGCTCCTTTTCTGTCCCTTTATTATTTGAGGTGTGTTCCACTGTTATCTGAGTCTTTCAGTTCTTAATTCTTCTTCAGTGAGAGATGTAAGATTGACAGCAGAAAAGAATTGAGTGTGAGAATTTAAACAGATGAATGAGCCTTGGGAACAATGTTCGTTTTTATTTCCCTGTTCCTCTTGAGACAGAAGATCCTTGTTCTTGAAGATCACAGTACCACAGATGCAGCAAGGCAAGTTCTCACACACCTCCTCAGCAACTGCACCTCCCTCTTTCTACTTAAGGGATTAAATAACTCAGCCTCTATAACCTGCCCAGCGGGTCCCCTTCTCACCGGGTCTACCAGCTAGGTAACTGTTCAATGAGCTTCTTTCCATATCCAGATGTGACCACTGAGGACAGAAATGAAACCACTGCTCACAGAATGGTTGCAGTTAAGAGGGGACTACCAGAGGTCGACTCTTCTACTGAAATGGCCATTAATCAGTGGTTTAAAGAGAATAGGCTTTCAGACAACATCTACCTGGGTTTAATGTCAGTTTATGACTAAGGCAGTGGCTTAGTATTTGAAAACTGCTAGCTAGGTGATGAGCAATGAAATGCACAAAGTTAAACAACTTTTACAAGATTTTAATTACAATCAATAATGAAAACTGAATATCCTTGGTATTTCTATAAGCCCCAAATTCCTTTGAAATTCTAGTCAAAATGCTTATTCTCAAAGACTGTTCTTTAGTGAATGCTTCATGAAATTATTCCCCGCTGCCAGCAGCTTCCCACCTTCCAGAGTCCCTTTGTTCATGTATCATGACACACAGAGAAGCTTCTGATCTGCTGCTCACTGATCAGGTGTTGCCTTGGGCCTTTCCATCATGGAATTATAGAATCATAAAACAGTTTGGGCTGGAAGGGACCTTAAAGCTCATCTAGTTCCAACTCCCTGGGATGGGCAGGGACACCTTCTACTAGAGAAGGTTGCTCAAAGCCGCATCCAGCCTAGTCTTGAAATCTTCAGTGTTCAAAGCAGTGACAGAACCCCAAGCTATGCTGCACAGGATCGGAAAGAAATTCTAATTCTGCTCCTAATGCAAAGAAAAAAAAAATAGGAAAAAAACCAAAATAAGCATCTGCTCTTGATTGTGAACATTAGTAGGCAAAGATTAACACCTTTCCATTCTGTTTCTATAAAAGCTCTTATGCAGCTACACAGTGCAGAAGGACTGGAGATGCATCCCTGCCAAAGACCATGCAGTTTAGTGACAGTCTTGGCTGATGAGACACTTCAAGACCTGATCTAGTGCATTGGAGAAACATGGAAAAGGATGCAGAAGCAGCAGGTAGTTACCTAACACTATCAAGTCTCATGTTCACTTCTTCCCAAAATAAAAAATCCATATATAAATTCCAGGAAAAAGAATTCTAACTATGGTGAAACAATGCTATTTTATGTTAACATTTTAAGCAAAAAAATGATTTGCACATAATAGACAAGATGACAGAGCTGAGCTGCAGCACAGATTCTGAATGCAGATGTTTCAAAAGTGAATGTAAAAGAGACTCAGAGTGGATTTGGGGAAACAAGTGAAACATTTCTGACAGTGATGGTGCCAGTATTTTTCTTACATTGTTTTCTCTTTTCTTTTTTTTTTTCCTTGCCATTAGCAAGTTTCATGCAAGGCAAAAATCCTTACCGTTGATGGAGGAAAAAGGCAGATAGGCAGTAGGGAGAAAACATGGAAGATGAGAAGATAGAGGGACATCACACTAAAAGGGACCTCCCGCATCATTGAGCCCAGCTGCTGCTTCAGGCACAAGCATCTTGCAACCACTTCCACGACCTAATGGAGCTGCTGAGATGCACTCAGAGCCCTCATGTGTGCCTTTCCCACCCACATCACACCTCAGGAGGAGATAAGTTGCCCCAGAGCCACAGCATCCCAGCAGTGAGACCTTGTCATTTCCTGCTGAAGTTCACCATTACTTCCGTGTACCAGCTTCTTTCTGAGCTGCCCTTTTCAAATAAACTGCTTTCCCCACAGTCTTTCTAGGGTTTTTATTCCCTAATGCATTTGCAGGCACCTATTCCACCTCACCATAGTGGTGGAGAAGTATACCTGGCTTTCAACAGACTCACTCCTCTCCTGACCATCCTGGTGGACCTTCTCTGCATGTCCCCAGTTGGCCTCCCATCCCCTCACACCATGCCACCTGTGTCGTGGTTTAAACCCAGTCAGGTAACTCGTTCACTCACTTCCCCCCCTTCTTGCCCTCCCCCTGCTCCCGGAGGGACGGAGAGGAGAATCGAAAAGAATGCAACTCCCACGGGTTGAGATAAGAACAGTTTAGTAACTAAGGTATAACACAAATCACTACTGCTACCACCAGTGATAATAATGATAAAGGAAATAACAAGGGAAGAGAATACATCATCTCACCACCAGCCGACCGATAACTCGCCCCCCAAGCCCGACCAAGCTCCGACCGATACCTCCTCCAACCCTGCCGTCTCCCAGCCCTTCCGGCTAACTCCCAGTTACATCCTGGGCATGACGTGCTGTGGTATGGAATACCTCTTTGGTCAGTTTGGGTCAGGTGTCCTGTCTCTGCTTCCTCCCGGCTTCCCCTCCTCCCTGGCAGAGCATGAGGCTCACAAAGTCCTTGGCCAAACCAAAACATCGCTTGTTATCAGCTCTGTTCCCGAGCTGAAAGTCAAAACATTGCACTGCACCAGCTACCAAGAAGGGGAAAAATGACTGCTACTGCTGAACCCAGGACATTATCCACCCCTTATTCCATACCATTCACGTCATGCTCAGATCCCCCATTTTCAATATACTCTTATCTTAGTGCATGGACCAGTCCCTATAAAGCTGCTGAGTCCATCTGGTCCATGATGTCAGGCTCCATCTCTTGTAACAGCCTTCCAGAGCAGGAGAGACTGTGTGCAGTGTTCACACTCGTGAATAACCTGGGCAATAGTGTCCATTGCTAGGTCCACCCCTTGATCATGAGCCCATCTCTGTGTTGCATCTCTGCTCTGATGGCCTGAAGTGCCATGG